TACCAAACTAACTTCCATGGTGATTATTAGGATCTCATTAAGTTCATCAGACCTATCTGTAATCTTTGAGAGGAAACCCTCCCCTCTCCAAAAAATAAACCCGTTGCTGTCGAGTCAAATCTGATTCATGGCGACCCCATGTGTTACAGAGGAGAACAGTGCTCCACAGGGCTGTCAGTGGCTGATTTTTCAGAAGTAGATCGTCAGAACTTTCTTCTGCGGCCACTGGGTGGGTTCGAACTACCAACCTTTTGGTTAGTAACAAAGCAAAAAGCATTTGCGCCACCCAGGGACCTAAGGACCATAAATAAAAATCATTGCGATATCGATGAAAATGTGAAAGCGAAGGTTTTACAGAGTTAAACAAATTAGTCCAACATCAGGTTACACTCTCTACTGCGGTCCCATTACTTGAGCTTCCATAGAATTGCTTCCCTTGAATTTTACTTTAGCAGTATATCGCCAACTCACATTCAGGGGCATTATAAGAAACAGTCACACAAATGACTTACTAATGCTATATGGATCGCAAGGTGTGGCATGGCTATTTCTCACTCTGCTGCCTGGTGTTCTTTTTACATAGGAATTTTTCCTTTTAACTGTCTATTTTGAAATAATTATAGATTCACAGAAAGTTGAAAAAATAGCACAGGGAGGTCCCATGTACCCTTCACCCAGCTTCCCCCAATGGTAATGTCTCACAGAACTATAATATGATATCAAAACCAGGAAACTGATATTCGTACAATCCACAGACTTTATTCAGATTTCACTAGTTTTACAGACACTTATTTTGTGTGTATAATTTCATGCAATTGTATCCCATGAGTCAATTGGAGCAACCACCACCACAACCAAATATAGATCTGCTGTATCACCTCAAAGACCTCCCTCGGGCTACCCTTGTTGAGTCACACCACCCTCCCCCTTCCTGGCTACAGGAGTTCTCTTTACCTTGGCCTCCATTTCAGGGAATGTGGGTCTGGAGTTACCTATGAACACTGGGAAGCTTGTAACTGACCACGTTCATCCCTTTGCTTTGGTCGGTAGAAGGTTAGAGTACAATTTCCGGAAACGTCCAAAAGCTGCTCTCCACCCATCTGCCCAAAGCCTCATGCATCACAAAAGATCCTTTCCCCATAATGTCCATACTCTCCCTCTCTCTTTCTCCACTCCCCTGCTTACACCCCCCTCCCTTCTTTACTTCACCTCTTCTAAATCTGTTCTCCTGTGACAAGCTCTGGGGCCTTTTAAATGTTAGTCTATTTAGCTCCTCTGGGCTAAGAACCCTGGTGGTGCAGTGGTTCAGCAGTCGGCTGCTAACCAACAGGTCGGTGGTTTGAACCCAGCAGCAGCAGCTCTGAGGGAGAAAGATGTGGCATTCTGCTTCTGTAAAGATTACAACCTTGGAAACCTGATGGAGCAATTCTACTCTGTCCTATAGGGTCACTATGAGTCAGAATTGACTTGATGGCAATGGGTTTTTGTGGGTTAAGCTACTTTGAATTTTTTACTCTGTACAGGCCCTAGGAGCTGAGCAGGTAAAACATGACGTTTTCGAGAGCATGAAGCAAGGGAGAAGGTCATGATACTTATGTGGCACTCATTTCCTTGCCACATTATTTTTCCTCTTATACCTTATTTGCTCTTCTTATGAATCCCAATAGGAGCAATGGTAGTAATGATAAACACACTAGCATTTACAAGGTTTAATCCTCACAATTCATCTATGAGGAAGTGTACTCCTTTAGAGATCAAGAATTAAGACTCGGAGAGGTTATGTTGCTAATTAGTGGTGGAATCCAGCCTCAATCTTGGTTTTTCCTAATTCCAAAACCCGTGCTTTTGTTTTGCTTTGTTTACTGTACCATTGCATCCTTTCTTGGTGTGTTTATTGGAATTCCTCTTGACATTGTACTTTTCATTACTACGTTGTTCACTTTTGTCTATACTTTTGAACCTCTGACCTGTGGTATAGGGATAGAGCATTTCCTAATCTCTCAACTTTTTAGAATTTATTGTTAGGTGCCATTGAGTTGGTTCCAACTCATAGTGATCCTATGCGCAACAGAATGAAACACTGCCCAGTCCTATGCCATCCTCACAATCGTTGCTATGTTTGAGCACATTGTTGCAGCCACTGTGTCAGTCCATCTTGTTGAGATACTTCCTCTCTTTGGCTGATTCTCTACTTTACCAAGCAATGTGTCCTTCTTCAGGGACTGGTCCCTCCTGATAACATGTCCAAAGTATGTAAGTCTAGCCATCTTTGTTTCTAAGGAGCATTCTGGGTGTACTTCTTCCAAGACAGATTTGTTTGTTCTTCTGGCAGTCCATGGTATATTCAATATTCTTCACCAACACCATAATTCAAAGGCACCAATTCTTCTTTGGTCTTCCTTATTCATTGTTCAGCTTTCACATGCATATGAGGCAAATGAAAATACCATGGCTTGGTAGAATAATGTAATTGATATTATGAGTCACATGAAATTATCCTCATCATTTATCATTAAATCTTCTGGTGTACCCTTGTTGCCATTTTACTGGTGGATTCTTATTACCCATTGCTGTCAAGCTGATTCCAACTCATAGTGACCCTATAGGACAGAGTAGAACTGCCTCATAGGATTTCCAAGGCTGTAATCTTTACAGAAGCAGACTGCCACATCTTTCTCTTGCAGAGCAGCTGGTGGATTTGAACTGCTGACATTTTGGTTAGCAGCTGAGCACTTAACCACTGAGCCACAAGGGCTCCTTGGATTCTTATTAGGGGAGGTCATTTTTGGTGGTATGAATCCTTACCTGTATCAGGCAAACATTTTGAGCGGTATCATTTTCTCGACTTGATTTTCCTACTTCTTATTGAGAGTTCCATTAATTTAGAGACGTACACTCAGATAGAGTTCAAGATAAAGAGAGGGGATGGCCCTAGACTTAAAACCCATACTTTAAAGCATTATACTACACTGCCTTCCAAACAGGTGCAACATCAGTGCCTCTTTTATGTGAATGCCAAACACTGCAAATCTGATGTATGGAAAGCAGTAACATCAGAGAGGCAATATAGGTGAGGTTTCAAGACCATGAGAGTAATAGATCAGGGTTATATTATGCTATGTTATATCATGTTATAATTTTGCAATCATGAAGTCATGTTTTATAAGTTGTATGTGAAACTCTAGCTCCTAATTGTTGGGGTTGTCATGAATTAGTCCATTAACTTTGAATTCTAGTCCTATGTGCAACTGAACTGATAAAAAACATCACAATAAATGGTGAAGAAATCGAAGTTGACAAGGATTTCATTCTACTTGAAACAGCAATCAATGCCCATAGAAGCAGCAGTCAAGAAATCAAATGATGTACTGCATTGGGCAAATCTGCTGCAAAATACTCATGATTATGATCTATTGCAGGGAAAGGATACAAATTAAAATCAGCCAGAGGAAGAAATGGTAGGGCTGAGTCTGGTGTGGGGGTTCTAAATACAAAGCATTATTCTCCTGGTAACCATGTGTGACAATCAATACACATGGAGTATTGCCAACCAGGGAAGCTCACCAAAGCTTCAGCGTAGAGTTTTTATTGGGGTTTCATTACATAGGCATGACTGATTGATTAATTGTCCATGTGGTTGAACTCAGTTACCAGGTCAACTGTATGACCCAAAGCCCCCACTCTAAATCTCAAGGTTGACCTTTCTGACATGACTAGACCTAACCAAACACTCCTATCAGGTATGACATAGATCACTTCCCAGAAGCTGAAGGCAAAGGCCAAACCTCTTTTCAGGCAAGACCAAATTCTGTACTGCACGAAAACTAATAACTAATAAAGGCATTTGAAACGTAACAACAGGGTGGCTTTTTACACATCTTACACGGCTTTCTTACTTCTTGTTTGACTGAAATGTGTTTACAAATACACTTTTTCCTTTGCAATGAAATAAGCAGCTTTTCATTGTGAGACAAATGGAATCATTTCCTCACCGTTGGTGCCCTACTTGGAAGCAATTTGCTGTATGGGAATCATAATAAATACCTTACAGGATTGATTTGTGGTTTTACAATAATGTATGTAAAGTACCAATTAATACTCTGAGCCTCCCTTTGAAATGCCTGGGGAGAGCAGTAAAAGAAGCATTCATTGTTTTAAACAGTCTGGACACCGACCTTTCCGAGTGGGTTTTAGAGAAGTTTCTAGCCTCTGTGGCATGAGAGAGTTTTGTGGCTGGTCCGGAGGGAGGAGACAGCCCTACTGGGTTGAGGGGTCAGGAATAGAGTTAGCTGAGTGGGCGAGGGGGGCCTGTTTTATCTTTTAGACCTTTCTGCATCCAGGAGTTATGGAAGGCCACATGGAAGTAGTTTGCAAACAGAAGGATGGTTTTTGGGGGAGGTATTTATTCATTTGAATGTTTTAGTCTGGAAGCTCCGCTGAAACCTGTCCACCATGAGAGAGCCTGCCAGTATTTGAAATATCATTGAAGTAGCTTCCAGCATCACAGCAACACACAAGCCACCACAGCACCACAGACTGACAGATGGGTGGTGGGGGTTATTCTGTACGTTCCCTTTATTCCATATGCATTCGTTTAGCAAGTAACCATTGGGAACCATATATATGTGATATGCTGGAATGGACAAGACACAATTTTCGTCCCCCTCAGAGCCCCAGTGTGGTAGGGCAGCCAGATGGGTGGGGTAGAGGGAGTTACAGTAAGGTACATGCAATCATCCTAGAGGGGAAGGGTGCCCAGGAGGGCCCCCGGCCCAGGTGTGAGGGAACAGGGAAGATGTAAACTCAAGTCGGGTCCCGAAGGATGGAGAGGAATTAGGAGACAGGACCAGGGGACAAAGGCAGTACAATTATGAGCCATCTCTGGTTTGGGACAGAGCAAGCGGGAGGGCGGAGGGATGAAGCTTTGAATGAAGCTCCTTTTGCTGTTTGTAGCACACACAGTTTACTCTGTCTGCCCGCAGTTCTCCACAGCAGAGCAGATGCCGTTCCAGGGAGCCAGGTTCAGTATGAGGAACAGATGGAACGGCACTCTGGACGGCACGCTGGACAGCACGCTGGACAGCACACGGACCCTGTACTCCTGTGTGTCTCGGAGCACAGACGTCTCCTACAGCGAAAGTGTAAGTTACGTGTGTCCCCCAGCAGATGGCGCTATAATTGGCAAAGCATTACTTACTAGGATGATCTGGGGAGCAATACTTCCTTTAAAAAAATCACATCTCAGCGTACAGTGTTTGGTGAATTATTTTTGCCAAATGTAGAAGCATTTTCTTTTATATGTTGGTTTTTTAAGCATTTCTATTTCCAAGCTTATAACCATAACCTTAATAAGTTGTTGAACAATGCATTTGTTAACTTTCACGCGTTTTTAATCACTGCTTTTTTTGTATTCACTTCTCATCCTGTCAGATCCCCTCAGAAATGATTCTTGGGTCTAAGTCCTCTTCTTTAGCTCCACGGCCAGGGTCTTAGTCTGACTCCCCGTGTGCTCTTTCGATAGCCTCCAAACTGTTCTCTTTACCACCCTTCGTGCTTTACTCCAAGTCACCCTCCACGTTGCCTCCAGAGTTAACTTCCTAAAGATGTCCCTAAGCATTACTTATGGGGTGAGCTGGGCCCGGTGCGTGCGAGCAGAAGGCATCTCCCTCTGTGCTGTGTTGATTCCCATTCTCGTCCTTGCTGACATGTCAAGCAGTCCCCCAACCCCCAAACCAAACCAGACAGAAAACCCACTGCTGTTCAGTCGATTCTGACTCATAGCGACCTTGTAGGGCACTGTAGAACTGCCCCACAGGGTTTCTAAGGCTGCAATCTTTACAGAAGCAGACTGCTACATCTTCTGGTACATCTTTCTCCCTCGGAGTGGCTGGTGTGTTTGAACTGCTGACCTTTTGGTTAACAGACGATTGCTTTAACCACTGTGCCACCAGGGCTCCTAGTCACCCTACACTTGGTATTGCCTTTATGGTTTTTGCCAAACTGATGGATATGAAATGGGATCTCACTGTGCTTTTACTTCATGTTTGCCTCATTCCTGATGAGGCTGAGCTCCTTTCCAGACGATTCTGGGTTACTTGCATGTCCTCTTTTTAGATGCCTGCTCATGTCTCCCGTTCATTTCCCCACTGGGTTGTCTGTCTTACGGTCACTGATTTACAGTTTTTATTGATTCTGTTTACCAATTCTAATGATGCTTAATATGTGTTGCAAATATCTTCTCCCAGTTTGAGGGCTGTAAGTATTTTCAACATATGTTTCATCTGTTTCTAAATAATTTGCTTCTGCCAACTCAAGGGAAGGTTTTGGTTTATAATGACTTTTGACTGTTTCTCAGAATTAGGTCCCAGGTGTCCCTGACCCTGTACACTATGAGTCAGAATCGACTTGAGGCCAACTGGTTTGGTTTTTTTTTGCTATTGAACTAGAATGGAGGCAGTGATCAGGGGAAGGATGAACGAATGAGGCAGAAGCATTAGAATCTGCCTTTGTTTCAACCTTGGCTTGGCTGCCTGCTAACTGTCTGACCACTCTGCTTGTGGGGAGACAGATACAATGATGGAAGAGTATTTTGGCATATATTTTATTTTAAAAGCAAGCATAAGAGCAATGGAGAGTTGCATTGATATATTATTTATATAAAACTATTAACAAATGCTTATATTCCCCCTGGTAGCCTTAGAGATGGGAAAACATAATTGGTATGTGTATAATAGCATTTATGTACAAGATAACTCCAAGTAACTTTTAGAAAAATTTGTTTAGTTATAAAAATTTAAACGTATCCCTCTTTTTAAGAACTTTGTGTACTCAGAAAACTTGAAAAGATGAATGGTATGAGTATGTGGTAAAGTCTTTAAAACTTTGAGATGTTTTTTAGGTCATATTTAGTGTTCATTGACAACAGCAGGGGGTGAGAATAAATTAGTAATGTGTTGTCCAATGTTCTTTCTCCAAAGGACTTGGCGAATTTTATTCAAGCAAATTTTAAGAAACGGGAATGTGTCTTCTTTACCAAAGACTGCAAGGCCACGTAAGCAACTATTTTTCCCCGTTTCTGTTTCCATGTTTAAAAATAAATTATTAACAACCAGTATAACAAAACAAACAAATGCCCTCTAGTTCATTATTAAAGCTCTTTCCATCTGGTAATTCTCAGAAATGTTTTGCGAGCAGGAAGACTGGCAAGGAGATTTGCAGTTGTTCCCTACAGCTATATAATTTTGTTTTCTATTTTTAGCTTTGGCAAAAGTTGGTAAAATCATGAAGAGAGGCTGCCTTTCCCTTCAGTATTACCAGAAGCCTGGGAGCCCACCTGAGTGGCTGTGGAAATGGTGTTGCTGTTTTACAGTGCTTTCTGGGGAACACTGTGTATGTGCACACATGGCAATCTGACTGACACCTCTATTAGCTCTTTCTTCCTCTCGTTGACTTTGGGCCTTCCACCTAGTTAGGTGTTCATGTACTCTGAGCCTCCTGTGTTTCAGAACAGCAAAACTGGGTTATAAAAGCCACAGGGTATAGCCCAGGTTCTCAATAATCAGTTAATGAGTGAGTGAATGGATTGAACACCGTTGACCTTTCCCACATTAGATATGTTGCTGTTGTTGTTAGATGTTGTCAAGTGGGTTCTGACTCATAGCGACCCTGTGTACAACAGAACAAAACATTGCCCAGTCGTGTGCCATCCTCACGATCGATGTTATGCTTGAGTCCATTGTTGCAGCCACTGTGTCAATCCATCTTGTTGAGGGTCTTCCTCTTTCTTGCTGACCTTCTACTTTACCAAGCATGATGTCCTTCTCCAGGGAATGGTCCCTCCTGGTAACATGTCCAAAGTGTGTGAGACAAAGTCTCACCATCCTTGCTTCTAAGGAGCATTCTAGTTGTACTTCTTCCAAAACAGATTTGTTGTTTTGGCAGTCCATGGTATATTCAATATTCTTTGCCAACACTATAATTCAAACGTGAACAGCATTAGATATATCTGGATATAATTAAATAGTTTTAGTTTTACCTCCTACTCATTTTATTCCCTCTCAGTCCTTCTCTTCTGCCTGCTCTCAATGGAAGAAAGAGTCTAGCTGTTAATTGATAGTTGCTGCTGTAGTTTATAATGAAAACATTGAACCTCTTTTGAACTAGAGGAGTCCTTGGGTGGAGTGAATGGTTAACATGCTTGGCTGCTAACCAAAATGTTGGTGGATTGAGTCCACCCAGAGTGACCTTGGAAGAGAAGCCTGGCAATCTACTTCTGAAAAATCAGCCATTGAAAACCCTATGGAGCACAGTTCTACACCGACACACATGGGGTCATCATGAGTTGGCATCAACTTGATGGCAACTGGTTTGGTTTTTTTGGTTATTGAACTAGAATGGAGGCAGTGATAAGAGGAAGGATGTAAGAATAAGGCGGGTGTATTAGAATCTGCCTTGGTTTCAACTTCGGCTTGGCTGCTTGTTAACTGTCTCACCCTGAGCCAATTACCCTTCTTCCTGAACCTAATTCTCTTGTCCCAAAAATCTACCAAAGTAGACCTCATGGTCGGATAGTGGCGATGGTTGCACAACAGGCCACATGTTACATGTCACTGAACTGTACGTGTAAAACATGTTGAAGTGGCAAATGTTCTGTTAGATATATACTTACCACAATAAAAAAAATATACCTCATGGGTTGTGGTATATGTGCTGTTGTTGCCGATGAATCTATTCTGACTCATGGTGACCCCATGTGTTACAGAGTAGAACTGCTCCCTAGGGTTTTCTTGGCTGTGCTCTTTATGGAAGCAGATTCAATAGGCCTTTCTTCTAGGGTGCTACTGGGTGGCTTCAAATTGCCAAGCTTTAGCTTAGCAGTCGAACGCATACAGGACAGAGTAGAACTGCCCCATAGGGTTTCCAAGGAGCGGCTGGTGGATTTGAACTGCTGACCTTTTGGTTAGCAGCCGAGCTCTTAACCACTGTGCCACCAGGGCTCCCTTGAATTCTTAGCTCTTTTCTGAATCTTAACCCAGAGACTGACTGGAGAGAGAATAGCGAGAGAGATGAAGTACCTGCTGTAGTGCCTTACAGCATAAAAGGTTCTCAGTAAATGTATTTTCTTACTTTGTGTGAATTAGGAAATGAACCTCAGAAAAACCCAGCGATTTCTATCTTGTCACGGTCATAAACATATTCATCGCGAGTCATTCTGCAGAGTATAAACTTCCATGAGTCAGCTGTTGATTTCCCAAATGTTTTACTGAAAGATTTAGCTGCTAGTCTATTTGTTCAACTTCTGAGGAACAATTTGGATTCATGCATTCATTCATTCAACAAATATTTATTAAACATCTACATGGGATCGCCATGAGTCCAAATCGACTCAAGGGCAACAGTTTTTTTTTTTTTTTTTTTAATGTCACCAAACCCAAACCAAACCCACCGCCATCGAGTTGATTTGACTCATAGCGAGCCTATAGGACAGGGTAGAACTGTCCCATAGGGTTTCCAAGGCTGTAATATTTATGGAAGCAGACTGTGACGTCTTTCTGGTGGGTTCCAGCCACTGATCTATCACTTAGCAGCTGAATGCTTTAAACACTGTGCCACCAGGGCTCCTTGTTTAATGTCACAAGGACTTTACATACTTGATTGCTAATACTACAGCCGCTCTACAAGGTAAAAAAAGCAAACCAAACTCATTGCCGTTGAGTCGATTCCAAATCCTAGTGACCCTATAGCACAGAGTAGAACTGCCCCATAGGGTTTCCAAGGAGTGGATTTGAGCTGCGAACCTTTTGGTTTGCAGCCAAATGCTTAACCACTGAGCCACCAGGGCTCCACTCTACTAAGTAGCTTTTATTATCATTTGACAGATAAAGCAAGTGAAACTGGGAGAGTTTCAGTATTTTGCCCAAGGTCATTTTGCCCAAGGAGCTAGATGAGGGACTTGAACCCAGGGTGCCTTTTCTGCTGGGCCTGCTAGTGGTTAGTGTGACCACATACTTTATTGTGCAAACTGGGGCAGTGATAAGTGATACGTGTGAGGGATACACCAGTTATACTTATGCTCCGGCAACGGGTGGGAATTTGGGCAGTCCTGGGCACATCCGGACGTTTGGTCACCCACTGGTGGTGACCCTGTCTTGCTCCCATGCTCCTTTGCTCTCTCAGATGCAGGAGGGCACTGGCCAAACATGTCTCTTACCTGCTGTTCTCTGGCCTCTTTGGGATGGAACTGTGTGCTCCTTTCCCTTTGGCCATGCTGTTGTTGCCGATGAATCTATTCTGACTCATGGTGACCCCATGTGTTACAGAGTAGAACTGCTCCCTAGGGTTTTCTTGGCTGTGCTCTTTATGGAAGCAGATTCAATAGGCCTTTCTTCTAGGGTGCTACTGGGTGGCTTCAAATTGCCAAGCTTTAGCTTAGCAGTCGAACGCATACAGGACAGAGTAGAACTGCCCCATAGGGTTTCCAAGGAGCGGCTGGTGGATTTGAACTGCTGACCTTTTGGTTAGCAGCCGAGCTCTTAACCACTGTGCCACCAGGGCTCCCTTGAATTCTTAGCTCTTTTCTGAATCTTAACCCAGAGACTGACTGGAGAGAGAATAGCGAGAGAGATGCAGAACCAAGTGGGTGGGACAGGCAGGAAGAAACTGGGAGGAGGGTGAACTGTGGCTCATGACAGGAGAGCCATTGGGGCCGCATTAGAATTTTTGTTGTTGTTCATGTCTTTGGAGACCGCAACACTTAGCATGAAACGCAGCCCTGCATCGAGGGGTCACATCGTCATGGAATGCATTTCAACTGTTGTCACGTTGCATCTTTTCTGTTGGCACTGCCTGCATTGTTCGTTGATTTACATGCATGTCACCACTGTAATCTACCATTCACCTCTATGGAGCATGTGCCCTGGTGGACGAGGCTCCACTCCAGGTTTTGCAGGTGGCATGCCCAACCACCACAGCAAGCCCGCTGGGAGAGGGGCTGTGCTAGGACTGAAGGAGGACTTCTACTTGGTCTTCACTGTACTCTGCTGTGTTTAAGAGCTTGGCTGCTAGCTAAAAGGTAGGCAGTTTGAATCCACCAGCTGCTCCTTGGAAACCCTATGGGGCAGTTCTACTCTGTCCTATAGGGTCGCTATGAGTCGCAATCAACTTGACAGCAATGGGTTTGGTTTTTTAGTTTTGGTACTCTGCTAGGTGTTGTATTTTACTCTGCTGGTATGTCTTCCTCAAGAGAACACAAGCAACCTGAGGGCAGGATAACAGTCCTGTTGATCTTTGGATGCCACCAAGCTCAGCTCCGGTTTGATCGAGATGATTTTTAATAAATAGCTGTGGAGGAAGGAGGAGGGGAAGTGGACTTGGCATTTACTGCATCTTATTTTAGATTCTTCCAATTTCGCATCATGCCTATGTGTCATCTAATTAAAAACTAAATTTAGTTCTATTACTCTCTTAATTGGAAGATCGGGTGCTCATTTGGTACACAGTTTGTGCTTGTCTAGCCCCAGTTAATGAAAGCCCCCTCCCCACAAAGCAGCGAATACCCAGTATGGCAAAGATGGTCCCTCTGAATGCTGCAACACTTTGGGGTCCCTGCCAGGTATGCCTCCCCCCAGTAGCTTGCCCATGGGAAGGAGGGCTGGCATTGAAGTCGTGAGGCCTGCTGCAGGGTCCCGCGTGTGTTATGAACCATGCGAAAAGCTGAATATACAGTTTCCACATTTCTAAGAGTCAGTCCCATAATCACCTCATAGCTACTTGTACAGATGGTGGACATCACAGGGCAGGGGCCAAACCAAAACTAAACCCATTGCTGTTGAGTTGATTCCGACTCATAGTAACCCTACAGGACAGAGTAGAACTGCCCTATAGAGTTTCCAAGGAGCACCTGGTGGATTTGAACTGCTGACCTTTTGGTTAGCAGCCATAGCTTTTAACCACTACGCCACCAGGGTTTCCCAGGGTAGGGGCAGCTCTTCTCAAATACCAGCTCTCAACTCACAACCGATTTATCGGTGGATGGACAATAAACAGTGGGGATAAGACACCAAAATAATTTCTCAATAACCGAGATGATGAAAATAAAACTTGCTGGGGTGCCATAAACAGTTTGCAGCTCAGCTGCTAACCGAAAGGTTGGCAGTTCAAATCCACCCAGTGGTGTCATGGAGGAAAGTCCTGGCAATCTACTTCCATATGATTACAGCCATTGAAAACCCTATGGAGCTCAGTTCTACTCTGACACAGAGTTGCCATGAGTTGGAATTGGCTGAACGGCCAAGGGTTTGGGTTTTTTGGGGGGCAAAATTTATTTTTATGTTTTTTTAATCTAAATAATTTGTGGTTGATTCAAAGAAATTTGATGAACTGCTTAAGCAGTCTTAATGAAATCGGTCCCTCCCCTCAATGTCGTATTCTGCTCAGGGAAAACCTGTGCAAGTGTGGCTACACTCAGAACCAGCACATAGAAGGCACCCAGATCAACCAGAACGAGAGATGGAATTATAAGAAACACACCAAGGAATTTCCCACGGATGCCTTTGGGGATATTCAGTTTGAGACACTGGGGAAGAAAGGAAAGGTACGCAATGGTTTTCTGCTTTAATTAACTAATACATAGTTTGCTACCACCACTGGGGCTACCTTGAGTTGCCTCAAATTGTCTGATAATATGGAAGCGGGAGAGAAAAGGAATAAATACCAAAAACTATTGTAGAAAAAGATGTCGTTAGCTGCCGTTGAGTCGCCCCCAACTCACGGCAATCCCATGCACAATAGGATCAGACTGTTGCATTCCATAGGGTATTCATTGGCTGATTTCTAGAAGCAGGTTGCCAGGCCTTTCTTCCTAGTCTGTCTTAGTCTGGAAGCTCTGCTGAGAACTGTTCAGAATCACAGCAACATGCAAGCCTCCACCGACAGACAGGTGGTGGCTGTGCATGAGATGCATTGGCCAGGAATCGAACCTGGGTCTTCTACACAGAAGGGGAGAATTCTACCTCTGAACCACCACTGCCCCTGTAGAAAAAGACAACTCGTATAAAAGTCAAAAATCTGCGAGTAGATTATAAACTACTAGAAAAAAACCAATATGTGATTGGATCATCACCCCGTCACCCTTCTCTCCACGCATATTACATCAACATCCGTGTTGATCCTAGATGCTACAAAAGGCTGGATCGGTGCTGTTGTGAACTGTCTCATTTAGCTTGGCATAAGGCATTCCTGAGAATACATAGTGCCCTGAATAAGTGACAACTTCCTTTATACACTGACACTGCAAGCTCCTACAGAGGGTTTTACAAAGATGTTGAGCGATCGGGCCCAGGCCCTCCTGCATTCCCGTCTCAGCGGCAGCACTCAGTAAATGCTGGAAGCTGGGCAGCATCCCTGCCCCCTCCCATCCGCAATCCCTGTCTGTGCAATCCCTGAACATGACCCAGCTCCAGCCACTCGGTCTCTTCCCAGGACTGTCCCCAGCTCTCCGCCTGTGTCTTGCCCCCTCAGTCAGTTCCACACTGCGCTGGAGGGCTCCCTAAAACGCAAACTTTATCCTGTTCTACTCTGCTTAAAACACCTGGAAGGAGCCCCATTGCCTTCAGGATGAAGTCCAAAGTTCTCGCCCTTGCTGGTGTGGTCCTCTAAGGTGGCTCTAGCCCAGATGGACACCCCTATGTTCCCACTGCCTGTCTGGAGGCACTGGTTTCCTTCCCTTCCCTTTGGGGTATTTGTGCCCCCTGCCTGGGATCCTCCTCTGCTCCTACCCTTCCCCCCACGTTCCTCCCCTCTTCCTGGGACCCTTCTCTGCTCCTACCCTTCCTCTCACGCCCCTCTGCTCTTCCTGGGACCCTCCTCGGCTCCTATCCTTCCCCCAACACCCCTCCCATAGGGGCGGGTGGGCCCGGGACTAAGCCCGGTCGGTTCACGGTGCTTTTCCTCTCTTCCTTACAGTATATCCGTTTGTCCTGTGACACGGACCCAGAGACCCTCTATGACCTGCTGACCCAGCACTGGCAACTGAAAACGCCCAACCTTGTCATTTCTGTGACCGGCGGCGCCAAAAACTTCGCCCTGAAGCCACGCATGCGCAAGATCTTCAGCCGGCTGATCTACATCGCGCAGTCAAAAGGTGTGGCCCACGGGCTGGCGGCTGGATGGCAGGCGAGATTGCGCCCAACCAGCCAGCGCGGGCAGACTGCAGGGCAGAGATCAGACTGGCATGTGTAACCACCGCAGAATCCAGATGTTGCTGAGAACTACAGTCAGTGTCTTATTAAAAGCAAGATCCTCAGATGAATAGAAAGGAGGAGATTCTGGCCCATGGTGTAGGATTTCACAAAGGCACCCTTTAGAATCAGCATTGAGGTGCTTTCTTGCATAGAAACATAGCATTCTATGTTTCTCTTAATCTTCTAAGGTTTTCATTTTATTATTTCTATATATAAAATTTTACCCGGGTAATTTTGGTGAATGAAAAATTTAATTTGCTTCCTGTTTATGCACTTTGGGAATAATGGCAGTGCCTGCAGATTTGTAAGGACCACGTAAGTGTTTGAGATCAGAACAAGTGACTTCGGCTTACTTACTTGAAATACGCAGCTTAGCTTAGCATTTCATTTCTTTTTAACTTTTTCTTTTGAAAATTTCAAACCCACAGGAAAGTTGCAAGAAAAATAAACATCTGTACATCCTTCTCCTAGATTCACAAAGAGTTAACATTTTCCCACATTTCTCTTACCTCTTTTCATAAATGTACGTATATTATGTTTTTTTTTTTTGTGGTACTTCTATTTCTAGCTTTTTTTTTAATATTTTACGGTACTTCAGGTGAAGGCTTACAGAACAAATAGTTTCTCATGAAACAGTAGTACACATGTTGTTTTATGACATTGGTAAACAACCCCACAACATATTAACCCTCTAAATTCTCAACCTTTTTTTTTTTTTTT